CAACATAATGATACCAAGCCTCACTATAAATGGCATATTTTCAAATCTTTCTAATCTTCAACTGCATTTTCTCCATCTTGATCTTGTGATCATCGACGACATCGGCAACATGCAACTCCAATTCCATCTTCTCCCCCTCAATTCTTTTCAATTTTTCTTTCAAATACTCGTTTTCTCTTTCAACTAAATTTAACCTCTCGACAATAGGGTCGGTTGGTATTTCTGGTTCACATACCTCCTAGATAAAAATATCTATGTCAACTTGATGGGCATAATTTGTCATAAACACGAAATGCAACAAATAGTTTTAAAAGAGAATATACCACATCTAAATCATAACACGGACGAGGGCCGACGGGGACGGATATCAAAACCATGGCACTATGTATAACAAACAACGTACGGGTAAGATAATTATACAAGTAACTATATATATAAATCACACAAACATGATTTTTTTATATAAAAAGATAAGAACAAGAGGCTAACCACAAGGTGGTGCCGGCGATAAGTCGGTGCGGACGATCGACGGTGGTTACGATGGAGACGGGAAGGCACTAAGTAAACCACACCTACATATGCAAAGTAAGAGTTATTTTAAGCTCAAATTGCATATAAATCAAATAAACTACCACATATAATTCCTCCTAAATTACTAAAACCCACAAATTAATCACTATATAAAGCATTGCAAGAGCTAATCTAGCAATGAGAGATGAAAGGACAAAGTTGCTAACCTTTGTGATCACTTGAATCGATCGGGGCCTTCAAATCTTGACAAAATTTGGGCAAAATGTGTGATGAGCTCGAGGGGAAGAGGGGAAGAACAAAGAGGAGAGGGGAAAGGGGGGAGAACAGAGTGAGCTGGACGAAGGGTTTATATGTAGGATGACATGTAGTACCGGTTCATGGCACGAACCGGTACTAAAGGTGCTGGAGGAGCCCCAGTCTGACAACATCCTGCCACCACTCTCTTTAGTACCGGTTCGTGGCACAAACCGGAGCTAAAGGTTCGCCACGAACTAGTACTACAGAGAGCGGCCTGCCTAGCCGTTGGAACCGGCACTAATGGTCACATTAGTGCCGGCTCAATTTCAAACCGGGACTAATGAGATGCACATTAGACCCTTTTTCTACTAGTGCATGAAGAACTCCGGTAACAAAAGGATGAGAAGTGGAGGATGAAAGAATAAGATTGAAGCCTTGCAATGATTTAGATGGAGCTTCATGACGAAGTAACCGAGAGAACTTGGATCTCTGGAAAGAAAAGATGAACAACTCGAAACCGAGAATTACTTCATCATGAAGAAACTCCGAAGGAAGGTATTAATCCCTTGGATGAAACAAGAATAAGAATTATGTTATGTGTATCCTTCATCAATTTAAAATGATGACAAGCAAAGGATTTAGCATACTACTTATCTCATTTGAGAAAGGATTAGGAAGAGATATAGCGTAAACTTGGGAAAATCGTCCACGAACCACGGGTAGGATTTTGGAAAGAACAATGAATTGATATGATATCAAAGGAAAAAGGAATCTTGAGCGAACCACCGGTAGGAATTGAAATAGAACGTAGCAAAGGGACGAATCACCGGGAAGAATTAAAAAACGAACAAAAATACTTGGGAAATTTAGATACAAGAGAATGAAGAGATCACGAGCTGACTAGAGAATACTTGAGCGATGAACCGGTAATATTTGGAAAACGAGAGCTTAAAGCGGAGAATGAATAATTGTGAGATGATGGGCTCCGGAGAATCAAATTGAAAAGACCCCTAAATTGCTTCGGATGGATATGAAAAGAATCCCTCATGATAGAAAACAGTTATGAGGATGGCATGAAGCTGGAACCATGCATCTTCAAGTGAACGAACCAAGATTTGGAGGAAAGCTCTTCTCCGGTCTTCAAATGCAGAGAATGACGATGAGAAACACCACCATGAATCAATTAGACACTCCGGGAGAATGAAAAGATAAAAGGTTGAGCCAAAGAAGAAAATAATTTGAAAGATCTTGAAGAAAGACATATGACTGATGATAATTCATTATTACGTCAAACTTTAAAAAGAATTGAGAATAGCTCCGAAAAAATTAGAAGAGTCAGGTAAGATCCTGGGAAAAGACCTGTGGGTTAGGGCCCACTCAAAAGAAACACCATTGAAAAAGACTGCTTGAAAGAGAGATTGCACCGGTTGAATTAAATGGCTTGAATGATTTAACAACCTCGAAATAGCTTGAACGGATTAAGAATGGAATCATGAATCTTCTGAGATATCTTCAGCACTCCGAAATAATTGAATAGCAAGCGGGGAATGATTATGAGGCGCACCAGCTTGGGAAAGCATTTGAAACGAGGAAAGAGATATGATCAACACCGAAAGCTTGAATTTAGTATAGAATATGGGGATTTTTAGTAATAAGTGTCAAAGTCTTTAGTAGTATAAACCTCAAGTTCAGAGGCTTTTAGTATTGTTTGAGGTTCTGAAACTTGTTCTTTAGTAGTGTATGAGGTTGAGAGGTCCTTTAGCATATCAGATTCAGTAGTAAAAGTTTTCAAACCTAATTCCAGCAGTACAATTGAGGTTCGTTAGTAGTATAGTGTATGCCTTTTCAGTAGTTCATTTGCATACTACAAAAAGAATATCATACGACCAAGCGTCAAGTTCAGAGGTTTTTAGTATAGCATGAGCCAAGCGTCAAGTTTCAGTTTCAGAATAACTAGTTTAGACTGGATTGTCAACTTTCAGTTTTAGAACAACAAGTTCAGACTTAAACGTATAGAAAGAAAGAAATTGCTCTCGTCAGAAACCACATAGACAGGTGAGTCATATGCTTGATCAACGCACCAGGAGGAGTAACGATCAAGCATTAATAAGAGGTAAAAAGGATCTCTGCTATTTGGTGACGGTTTGATGAGGATGTGGAGTGCTAAATGCCCAGTGTTCAGTTAATAAACTGCTGCTTTTCTTCACAAGTTTCAGATATAAGGCCATGAGACACATAACCTCACCACCGTCCACTGCTTTTCAGTACGAAGTGTGCTGCTCGAGCCGCCCGATAATTTTGGCTCGGCTGTGTCTCTCTCTGCCTCCCGATGGAAAGCCCGTTTCCACAACGGCGTGAGCGTGCGTGCATGAAGGATTTCATCAGGAAAATAAGGCCATGAACGACGACGACCTAGTCGGTGCCGAAGGCGGCGTCATGCGACTACAGCGGGTGCGCCGGCCCCGTGGCGGCTGCGCATGGCGGAGGTCCAGGTGTTGCACCCCCTCTCCATCGCGCCGCCGTGGAGCATCAATTAGGAAGGTCACACCAGGGGATCCCGTCCCGTCGCCTCGTCGCCCGCAGGACGAAGGAGGAGCGGGGCGACGACTGCGTCGCCTTTAGGAGGAAGGAAAAGCAAGCCGACGGGCCTCCTCGTCGGGAGGAAGAGTGGATAGTGGCCTTGTTTGTGGATGGAAGGGAGGCCTGGGCGTCGGGGCAGTTGGGATGCAGTCGCACGAAGGATTGTGGCGGTGTTCGAGCAAAGACTTGCGCGTCGCGTGATCCAAATCGAACGGCACTTGATGCGTTAGGTCGTTTTTGCAATCTGTCACACGATTGCCACATACATATTTCGTAAAGAGAAATCATCATGTGCGTTTCCCTCGATTTAAATGGATCGAAGATCCATGCAATTTATTTACTCCCTAATATTTTATAATAGCTCCCTAATATTTTATAATAGCTCCCTAATATCATGCAATTTTGTTTTGGTATTGTGAATATTTATAGTTTCTTCTATAGATTTAATCAAACTTTTTTTTTACTTGAGACAAACCTAACATTCGAAATAAAAAGAAACGAATGGAGTACTCTTACCCTGGCTAGCAGAGATGACCGTGGCAACACTTGATATAAAATGAATGAGCGTTCGAACCGAGGTCGTTTTCCATCTCGTGCCGGACCCAGCGCAGCCAGACGAATTAAGTTCGTAAACCGGTGTGCCGCGCCGGTGGTTTCGGTGGATGCGGAGACGTCGCGCCGGGACGCAGGACGAGCCACGACTGGCTCGCCGAAAAGAGCAATAAAAGGTTGTCAAAAGAGTGCAAGTGATTAGGCGGTGTCCCTTGTGTAGGCGACCGGTGCCTAGCTATATACAGTACACGTATAGGGTTTGGTAGGATCACAGAGACCGGCAAAGTGTTACTCAGAATCAGAGGCATTTAATCATGGCACGATTCTGAAGACGTCAGTTTTGAGGGAAAATAAAAATAGGACAAGAATGGACAAGAAAAATGCACATGAATTTGGTACACTTTGATTTGATGTTTTTTTTTACAAACGGAATGTACATACGTTAATTCGTGAAAAGGAAAGAGTGTATACATAATATATTCCTAGGGAAGCAAACGTAGCCACTCTTTCTTATTTTTGAGAGGGGGTGTACTGAAGCAGACCCATTGTTTTAGTGGTTTATTTGTCTACTGACACAAAAAGAAAAGAGAAATTTTATCACCCGCAAAAGAAAAGAAAATTTTAGACACAAAAAGGAAAGGAATTTTTTGATAATTTGTTCTAACCGGATCGCTAAATCTCAGTCTAGATCTTGCATAGATTTCGTGCATTTTCTTTTAAAAAAATCTTTCTTCTTTATTTGATATGTCATTTGATTAAGACATGATTAAGTTTGTAACCTTGTTCCAATCTATAGATAGATGTGCGTAAAAAAGTTGAAAAACGCGGACATGAACTGTTTCGTACGTGCCATACAAATGAGAGCGTGAAAAGTTCCATTTTATGTCAGAAAAGTGGGTGCAAGTTCTCCACATTTCTTCTGATCGTCATGCTTGAATTACATAGCATTCCACTACAAAGGACCTGGATATGCCCGGCGAAAGCCCAGGAAAGCCGAATGATACTCTAACTAATCAAAAGACTTCGACCAATCTGCTTATTTATCGGCAAATGTAACCCATGCACGCCGCAGAGCTGCCGCACGTGGCGACGGCACACGCCTACTCCATGATGAGATCGACGGCCTCCCAGGGCTCCACGTTGCCGTCCTCCAGCCCCAGGAACGCCTCCAGGCCGGACATGCGCTCCCGCAGGCTGTCTGTGCCGCCGCCGCCGCCGCTAGCCGGGGCCGGAAGTGGAGACCAAGACGCGGAGCTCTCCTCTGCCGCGACGATGCGACGCTTCTTGGGCGCCCCCGCCCCTGCAACGGCCGCGGCCTCCTGCGGCGCGCCCACCGCGGGTGGGAAGTTGAGCTTGGCCTTCGGCCCGCGGATATCGCGCGCCGCGACGTCGTAGGCGCGCGCGGCCTCCTCCGCGCTGGCGTAGGTGCCCAGCCAGACGCGCGCGCCCTTCCTGGGGTCCCGGATCTCCGCAGCCCAGCGGCCCCATGGCCGGCGCCTGATCCCACGGTACGCCGTCTTCCGCCCCGGCGCCGGCGATTTCTCCGTCACCTCCTCACCTTATAAAGAGAAACATAAACGAACAGTACAGAGCAAATTAGCATGCAAGCTCAGTGTCAATCATAGATATGGAAGACGCAGACGCTAGCTACATTACAAAAGAATCTGTCCATCATCACTCTACTGTGATCGTATAATTTGATGACAGAATCACACTAGAAAAAAACACTAGACAAGTTGCAGGCCCGTTAGTATCTACCGGTGACGGTGAGGCTGGAGCCGGGGACGTCGGCGGAGGAGCCATCCGGGCGGCGGGCTCCGGCCGGGACAAAGTCGGCTATAACAGCTCCGCCGCACATTTCCTAGCTAACCACGTTCTCCTCTTACTCACAGTCTTTGGAATTGGCAGCTACCTCGGCACAAGGAATTAAGCAGATGACAGACGTTCTCTTCTTCCTTCGGCTGTATGTGGCTGGGCCTCAACTGCAACCCCCCTCCCTTGCTCTATATAGCAAGCAGAGTCCAAGAAACCGATGGAGCACAGTGGCAGAGGTACGGTAGCGTGACTAGCCGACGACTGTATGCAGCCAGGGTGGCACGTGATGCCGCGACGCTTTAATCGATGACGCCATGGAAAGCGGTCGAGAGAGGGGACGGAGAGGCCGGTGGGTGCGTGCGCCGCGGACGCACCGGCGACAAGTGTCGCAGCGGGTGGCAAGACGTGGCGGCCAGGGAGGGAAGCCTGGCGGGTCGAACGTCGCATGCCGCGGCGTACGCGCAGTGTATCGCTGAGTCACTGTGGACTGCCGACCGGTGGCTGTGTGTGCCTGTGTCACATGCGTTGAACAGGGTCAGCGCGCGATTCTGAAAAAGGCAGGGTGAAAAGTCGCGTCGCGCCACCAGGATTCCGCCTCCCCGCCGACGGTTTCACGAGGAAACGGTGGGTACGCCGGTGCCCCGGTTTGCTGAAATTCGCACCACTGCCGAATAGCCTATCCGTGCCGCCTGCACCCCGAGTCTCGTGTATTTTAAAGAAGAGAGTCACGTTCTGTCTTTTTTAAACACGAAACACTTTATTCATCACACATAGCAGTTACATTGTTTAACGAGGGGTACACTATCGCTCATAGGCTTCTCAAACCAATCAGAAGTCAGACAAAATCCTAACTAACCTGGCAAGTTCATAAACACCATTATTTGCTTCTCTAAAACAATGTTCAAACCTAGAAATAGTAAGAATCACACGCAATATGATAACAATCATCGAACATGCAACTCAGGGTGTACTACCGCTCTAACTAGCTCCCGCTCCCCCACCTAGCTCCCGCTCCCCCACCCTGCGCCGGCGGCCACTCCGGCCCCCGGCGGCCACCTTAGCCCGATGCAGGCCATTCCGGCCCCGCCGGCCACCCACAGCCATGTCCTCCCCCCTCCGTCGATCGTGGGTCGCTCGCGCGAGACCCGCTGGTTGGAGTCCAGCCCCTCCTCCGGCGGCTCGGTCGGCTCCTTGCCCGCCAGCTACCGCGAGGCCCTTTGCCGGTCCCCTGCGCCCTCTTCGGTCGCCTCCCCGGCCGGCTTCGACCCCTCCTCGTCCCCCGCCGCATCCTCTTCTCCGCTCGCGCGACCCGCCATCCGCTCCGAGATCTGCCGCTCGGCGGACGAGCTCCCCGCTCAGCAGCTGGCCTGGCAGGTTGCTCGCGGACGGAAGCGGCCCCGCCAGCGTGCGCCCCGCCGCCCGCGGCGCGGGCCTGGCGACGGCCCTCGCCAGCGTCCCTCCTGGCTCCGCGAAGGGGAGTGCCCCCGGTGCTTCAGCACGGCCCACCCGCGCTCCGAGTGCCGCCGTGATATTTGCTATGCGCGCTGCCGCTTCTTTGGCCACAAGGCCAAGCAGTGCACCGCCAGTCTCTCTGCCCCGTCTGACAGCTCGTCCCCGCCTCCTCTGCGCCGTCGTGTTCGTTCGCCGGTTGGCGCCCCCGGCGCGCACTCCGCGGCCTCCACCCGCTCCACCCCCGACATCCCGACGCCCGAGTCCTCTGGATTCGTGGCCTCCACTCGCTCCGCCACTGGTTCGCCGACGCCCGTGTCCGCCGGGCCGGCAGCCGATGTGTTTCGGGCGAGTCCCAGTCCCGTCGCGCCTGTGTCCTCCAAGTCGGCGACCTCCTCGCGCTCCGTGTCTCCGATGGGCTCAGCCTCCTCGCGCGCCACGTCGTTCTTCGGGCACCCTGCGCGCCGCCCCTGCGGCCGCCATCTGCTACCTCCCTCGCTCTGAGGAGATGATTGCGGCGGAGCGGGCGCTGGGCCTCGCCCTCCTTGCCACAGTGGCCGGCTGCCGCTCCGACATCTCCTGCGACGACGTTGCTGCCGTCCTTCGCTCCAACTTTGGCCTGCCTGCACGCGGGTTCTCCGTGCACAAGCATGCACCCCGAGGAGTTCCTTGTCCGATTCTCGAGCCCGGAGCTTCGCGCACGTGTTGCTACCGCGGCCCGGGCGCGTACCCCCCCGGTTTCGTCTCATTTTCCACCCTTGGGGCCGGACGGCGGGCTCCGAGCCGGTGGCGGCTCCGTTCCTCCTCTCCATCGAGCTCTATGGCATCCCCGACCACGCGTGGCATCGTTCTTTCGCCGAGTTTGTGCTTTCGCCGTTCTGCAAGGTCGAGAACCTCGCGCCGGAGACTCGGTCCATGGCGGACATGTCGGTCTTCAAGCTCACCGCCTGGACCACCAACCCGGATGCCATCCCTCGCGCCTCTGAGCTCCTCGTCCCCGATGACGATGTGGTCTCCCCCGATGCCGACCCGGATCGCGCCGAGCGGCTCACCCTTGGCCTCATGCGCTTCCCCGTCCGCATCCACATCGCGGCGTGCGATGACGTCCGCCGCCCCCGCCGCCTCCTTCGCGGCCTCCGGCCGACAAGGACGCCGGCCCGGACCTGGACTCGCCCCGCTCCCGTCGCGTTGGCCGCAGCACCACGATTTTCCTCCTGCCGCCCCATCGCCGCGTGACCCGCCGACTGGCCGTGTTGGTCGCCGGCGCCACCGCCGCCACGCGCACGCCCCGCCCACGTTCCGCGCTTGGGAGGGCATACTCGGGCCCCACCCAGGTGCCGTTGCTCCCGACCGGATCCCTGCAAAGGAGTGCCTGGGCCCGTCCTTTCCGCCAGCTCTGGATAAATCTGCGCCACCCCTCGTCACCGCTCCGGAGACCGTTTTGGCGTGTTCTTCCCCGCCAACCGCCTCCGCGCCTGTGATCGCCCAGGCTTCAAATTTGAACATGGACGCCGTCGATGTGGCTGCTCCAGAGCCACGCACTGGTGCCCCGCTGCTCCGTTCGCCCGAGGCGCGCGAAGAGCGGCTCGTCGATAGCGATAACTCTCCGCCGGGTCCCACCGCGGATGCCTCCCCTGTCACCATCTCGAACCCCCTCCCAGGCCATTCCCCTGCCCCGACCAATCATGAGCTGACAGCGCCCCCAAGCTGCTCCCGCACCTGATCCGATGCTTCTGGGGCCGCCCCCTTCTCCAGTTGTCGCCTCGGATCCATTGCCCGTGGGACCCTCCACCGCCCCGCCAGCGCCACCCCCACCTGTCCTCGAATGCTGGCCATCTGGACGGACCCACTGAGTTGGTGCATGCGGCACCCGTCCCACCAATCGTGGCGTCCGCCCCTGGTGGTGTGACTTGCAACGCCATGCACGCCTCTTCGCCTCCCCATCCCCCATGCATGACGGTAGCATGCAAACCGCTGTTTGCATTGATCTGGTGACCAGCTCAGGCCCGACCCCTGCGTTGATGCTGATCGAGGTGCCTGGCTGAGTTTGTCGATGTGTTGGCTGCCCGCCCCCAGCCCATCCTGCCGGCTCCTCTGGCTCGCCGCCGCCGGAAAGAGATCCCCGCCAATTTCACCGACGCAGTTTTCGAATTGTGAAGGCCGACCGAGGTCTGGGATCTGAGATGAAAGCCAAGAGAGTGCTCCTCCGTCGCCTTGGGCTGATCAGCGACGATAGCACGCCGATCCCCGATGAGATTCTTGCCAAGTATGCACAACTCTTTGAGCGGCCTCTCGCTGAAGACGTCATTGAGGCGTTCGCCGATTTCTTAGGGTGGAGCTTGCCTCGGCCCTCGTCGTCTGCGTTGCCAAGCTCCCCCTTCCGTGCCTTGCCGCATTGAGGCATAGGTCGCTTCGTTCTGCTTCGGAACGCACCGCCCCCATCCCTCTTTATGGAGTGTAACCAAAAGATTCTTTTTTGGAATGTGTGTGGTTTGAACAATGGCGCCAAGCGCACTGCTGTCCGTAACGTGATCACCGCTACTTTTCCCTCTATCGTGTGCCTGCAAGAAACCAAGCTAGAGGCCGTCACCGATTCTCTTGTTCTAGACACTCTCGGCCCTCTCTATGAGGGATTCTACTCCCTGCCTGCAGATGGCACTCATGGCAGCATCATCCTCGCCTGGTGTAGCCCCGACGTTTCCATCTCAAACCCCCATATTGGAGAGCACCACATAACGACTCCATTCACCCCATCGGATGGCAGTGGCCATTGGTGGCTCACCGGGGTTTAGGGCCTGCAGGAGGACGCGACCAAACTCGACTTCCTTAAAGACCTTCGCGACGTGCGTGCATCCCGCATTGGTCCGTGGCTTCTTGGGGGAGATTTCAACATGATTGCTGCGCCCGACGAGAAGAACAACCCGCATGCCAATCATCGTTGCATGAACAGATTCCGGCGGTTCATTGCCGACGAGGAGCTTCGCGATCTTTACCTCCACGGCCGCTGTTATACCTGGTCTAGCGAGCGTGAAGCTCCGACGCTTGTCCGCATCGATCGCGTGCTTTGCACATCCGGTTGGGAGATCGCCCATCCAAACTGCTTGCTCCAATGTCTTTCCTCCACGGCCTCTGATCATTGCCCCCTGCTCGTGGATTGTGTTTCTCGCCCACCTAGCGCTCGCCGCTTCCACTTCAAGCGCTTCTGGCCGAAGCTCGATGGGTTCCACCACGTGGTCTCCGAGGCGTGGAACTCCGTCCATCCAGACCCTGACCCCTACCAGCGCATCGTGGCGCGCCTCAAGATCACCGCTCGTCGCCTACAATCTTGGAGTGCGCACACCATTGGCAACGTATCCCTCCAACTCAAAGTGGCTCGTGAGATCATCGCTAGGCTTGACGCCGCCCAGGACTTCCGGCCGCTCAGCCACGACGAGGCATGGCTGCGACGAAAGCTTAAATGTTCCTACCTTGGTCTGGTCTCCCTTGAGCGTTCCATCACGCGCCAACGTGTCCGTCTCGCCTGGCTTCGCGGCGACGACGTGGCTGTCTCCTACCTGAAGATCCATGCTTCTCATAGGAAGCAGCGGACCGCCA